GTTCAATTTCTTCTTTTGTGATGGGCCTGTTCAAATTTTTCACTTCAGTCTGTGTTAGTTTAGGTAAGTGGTGTGTTTCTAGAAAACTGTCCATTTTCTCCAGATTTTCAAATTTGTTGGAATACAGTTCTTCATAGTATCCTGATATTATCCTTTTTATTTCAGCTGGTTCTGTTGTGATGAATGACCCCATTTTCATGGGTGCTGGTGTTTTCTCTGGGGTGGCAAGAGGCCCAGATTAATCTGGTTACTGTAGAATGGGTGGAAGTTGGATGGTCATACCACCTTCCCCCTTCTCATTCACCTTCTTTCTGCCCTGTTCTTAATTTCATCATCCTTCATCCCATTTCTTCCATTTTGTATCCCCCAGAAACATCTGCTCTAGTCCTACCTCCCAGTACCTGTGAACGTGACCACGTTGGGAAATAGGGTCTTTGAAGACATCGGTTAACCTGAGGTTCTACTGCAGTGTGTCTGTGTGTGTGTGTGGGAGGGTGTTCTAATCCCATCTGAGTGACGTCCTTACAGAAGAAACCGACAGAACCAGAAGGGAGATGGCCACATGACGCTATGTCTACAAACCACAGATCAGCAGCTGTCACCCAGTGAGGAGACAGCCCTGGAGTGTTCTCCATCGGATCCCTCGGAAGCAATCAACATGGCTGACACCCCGGTTTCAGATTCCTAGCCTCCAGACCATAAATGGAACCAGCTGTCACCGAGTGAACGCCACCTCATGGTGACCCCACGTGTGTCAGACTGGACTTGTACCCCGTACGGTTTTCAGTGGCTGATTTTTTGGAAGTTGATCTCCAGGCCTTTCTTCCAAGACACCTCTGGATGGACTCGAACCAACTTTACAATTAGTAGCCAAGCTTAACCATTTGGAGGCCTTCTCTCCAGAATCTAGAATAAAGGTCTGTTCTGATAAGCCACCCAGTTTATGATACTTTGACCTCAGAGAATTCACACACACACATGTTCTCAGCTGCAGATAAAAATTTATTAAGGCAACAATTTATCAAGGCACTTAACATGCTGGCCAGGAGGGGCCCCACCTCCTCATGCTCTAAGGAGAGTCTCAGCAGCTTTGCTGCCCTCCCCCATCTCAGGAGGCCCATTAGCTTAAGGCCGATACTCGGGACTTTGATGTAGAAAAGAAAGCACAACATAAGAACACCACCTGATTTTTACAAAACAAAATTTGGGGGGACCTGGCAGCTGGAAACCTCACCTTAATTACTGATGGATGGGGAGGGTTACACTATGCTTCCTTCAAGCTCAGGGAGGGGGAGGGGAGGGGAGTGGGGTTAGGCATCAATTTTAAGAACCTCAGCTTCCCACACCAGCAGCCAGGATGAGCGCTTAGAAAAGTTGGTTCCCTAGGAACTGCTGGTGGTGGAATCGAGTGCTGTGGCTGGCCCCCCCAGGGAGGGACGGAGCCCCAAACTCTTCTCCTCTCTCTACTTTTTCTCTTCCAGGGCCTTCTCAGTGAGCCCAGGGGCGAAGGGTCCCACCAGCCACGTGATGGGCGTGTTCTGGGCCACGTACTCGACCATCTCGTCAAGGGCCTCACAGGCCTTGGCGACCCGCTCTCGACTCTGGGTCAGGATGGTGCCGGACAGGTCCTGGAAGGAGTGGATGCCGGAGAAGGTGGCCTGGAGGTCTTCCATCTGGTGGCAGGCCTGCTGGGCCTTGTCCATGACATTGGTGGGCAGGCCCTGGAGGCTGGACGTCAGTGAGGCACAGGTGGTCTGCAGCTGCTGGGCTGTGTCCCGGAACATGGTGAGCGCTCGGGACTCCACCTGCTGGGGAGGGGGAGTGGGAGGATGGTCAGGACCACTGTGTATGGAAGCCAAGGAAAAGCAAACGAGGATTCTGGAGGTAATCTGGGGAAGTCTTTTCAGAGGTAAGACTATCTAACATGGGGGTTGAGGATACCAGCCCCTTCCTCATACTGAAGGAGCTCTGGTAGCACAGTGCCTAAGGTATCTGACTGCTAACCAAAAGGTTGGTGACTCAAACCCACCAGCAACTCCATGGAAGGAAGATGGGGTAATCTACTTCCGTAAAGATTTACTGCGCCTTGGAAATCCAATGGGGGTCGCTATGAGTTGGAATTGACTTGATGGCAGTGAGTTTCTTTGCTTTGGTTCCTCATATTGATGGTGGGATTGCATAATGTATAGCTACTATGGGGAACAGTGTGGCAGTCCCTTAAAAAGTTAAATACAGAATTACTATTTGAACCAGCAATTCTGCTCCTAGGTATAGACCTGAAAGAATTAAAAGCAGGAATGTGAAAAGATACTTACACACCTATGTTCACTGAGGCACTATTCACAATAGCCAAAAGGTGGAAACAGCTTAAATGTCCATCAACAGATGATGGGGAAACAAAACGTACACACGTATGACAGGTATGACTCAGCCGCAAGAGAAACGAAGTTGTGATGCATGCTATCACAAGGTAAACCTTGGAAACTCTGCTTCTTGCTGTTAGTTGCTGTCAAGTGGGTTCTGACTCATGGAGACCCCCTGTGTGCACAGCAGACCTGCCCCATCAGGCTCTCACGGCTGTGACCTTTCAGAAGCACATCGCCATGCCTGCCTACCCAGGTGCCTCTGGGTGGGTTTGAACCACCACCCTTACAGCTGTTTGTGCCACCTGGGAGCTCTCTGGAAACACGCTGGGTGAAATCAGTCACTCACAAAAGACAAATATTGCATGATCCCAGTCACATGGAGTATCTAGAAGGGCAAGTATGTAGAGACCAAAGGTTATTAGTTGGGCACCAGGGGCACGAAGGAGAAGGAAGACACAACACTGAGGGAACGCTGGGCTTCTGTTCAGGGTGATGGCAAATTCAGGAATGGTCGATGGTGATGGGTGAACATGATGAACATAGTGAGCATCACAGAACTGTACATGTGAGAATGGTGGCAATGGCCAATATTTCATTACCTAGCTACTTACCACAATTAAAAAAAAATACTGTTGTTGTTGTTGTTGTTAGGTGCCGTTGAGTCATCTCCAATTCACAGCAACCCCATGTACAGAAGAATGAAACACTGCCTGTGTCAGCACCTCCCTGCTGCCCACAGGTTCAAGTCCAAAGCCCTCAGCTGAT